GGGGGGTGGGGGGGGATAATTACGCCCATAAGGACTAGAGGCATGGGAATTTAGAAAAGATTCTAGGCACAGCAAGCTCCGCAGGAAAACCTTTCGCAGCATTACGAATTTTAGTCCTTGACGTGTACTGGAACACATCTTATTTAGATTAGAAACCCTCCGTAAGAAAGGATTTTAGGCACCGCAAACTCCGAAAAAAAAACCTCTCGCACCTTCGCCAACTCTAATCCTTGAGATGTACTGGAACATGTATTATTTAGATTTGTCTCTGTCATTACGCCCACAAGGGCTTGAGGCATGGAAAGTTAGCAAGGTTTTTTAGGCACAGTGAGCTCCGAAAAAGACACCTTACACACCCTTGCAACCTTAGGCTATCATCTTGGGGATCTCTATAATGCGGACTGTAGTACCATGGTATATAGTACTACATTATTGGGTTCCACCAATTTTGGGAAACCACCATTTCGAGGTATCTAAGGCATTGGAAACTACTGCCTCAGGGTTTAGGGCTTTGGGTTTCCAGTTTCAGGGTGGAGTACTTGGAAGTCGCCAACAATGGGGCGACCTTTTTTTGCAAGTCCATATAGCAAAGAATAGATAAACCACTCGTTACTTGCTTTTCGTCGCGCAGTTGAGGACCGAATAGCATTTCGCCTATACTAGAAAATTCAGATTTCAAAAACGCGTTTTTCGCAAAATTGATTTGTTGCAAAAATGCTGTGTTTTACAGTACTTTCTGCTTCGCTGCCATGTGTGATTGTGTCTGAAATGCATGTTTTCAAAAATACACGCGGAGCCCGAAACACTGTGCGGGACAGTGATTTTGTGTCTTCCCATCATGATTTTGCGAAAAAAAATCGAAAAATCTTGGCTCTGAACTTTGCACCTTCTTCAAGTTAGCCACCTTCCGAAATACTGCGTTTTGCAGTATTTTCTTGCTTCTCCAGTTACGGGACAGCCAGAATAACGGATCGTCAAATACATAAGGCGCGTGTACTACTACTACTACTACTACTACTACTACTACGCCTACTACGCCTACTACACCTACTACGCCTATTACGACTCTTACGACGACTACTACTACTACTATTACTACCTGTAATAGTACGACGACTACTACGACGACTACGACGACGACTACTACTACTACTACTACCACAACTATTATTATTACTATTGCTACTATTACTATTATTACGACTACTATTACTACTACTACTACTACTACTACGACTACTACGACTACTACTACCACTACTAGTACTACGACTACTACTACTACTACTACCACCTACTGCTACTGCTGCTGCTTTTGCTAAAACCTAAACTCTTTAACCCTTACGTGACCCCTGAATCCTTCGCTGAAGCCAAACTCCTACACCCTAAGCTTAAACTCCAAACTCGAAGCCCCAACTCCCACACCCTACGCCCCCTTGACCTGAACGAATAGACACTTAACCCCAAGATCCTAAACCCAAAAGCGCGACTGGAAAACCTTGAAACTTAAACCGCGGCCAAGCAACTGTAAACCCTACAGCCAAACTTCAAATTCTAACTAAGAATTTGCAAGCAACAACTCTTTAAACTTAAACCACAAGATGTTAAGCCCCACGCCCTAAACCAACTCAGGGAGCCCTAAAACGTATAAAGCCCGTCCCCTTCAAACCTTCGCCCTGAACCCGAAACCTTAGCCCTACGCCCTGAGACCCTGAACCCAAGCCGAGAAACTCTTAAACCTGGCGTGACCCGAAACCGTAAACTCCTTAAAGCCTAGCTCTTAAACCCCAACCCTTGAGCGTGCATGAGGGTTGTGCTTTCAGGGTGCAGGCAATGTGGTGCTACCCCATGCGTTCGTTAGCAGACCCAAAGCCCCAACTCTGAACCCTGAGACCCGAAATCCTAAACTTTGACTTCCATGACCTCTTCAACTCGTATAGCTCGAAGCCACCCTAGAGCTTCTCTAGCGTCTCCCAAAGTTCTAGAGAGATCTTCCTAGATGATGTTCCGTTAAAACAAAATGTGAGAGACTGCTGAAATCTGAACCCCACAAATACGCACCGCCAGGGTGTACCGTTCTGTAACCCCAAGACCCTAATCCCCAAACCCAACTCAGGGATGGGGAGCATCGTCGCCTCCCGTTGCAGAGTTTGTGAATTTTACTCCTATTGACAGCTTGGGGATGTTTCAGTGCTGATTTGGTTGGCAAAAGTTTATCAGCTCGGTGTTTGCTGATTTCCTTTGGGGTGATTGCAGCTCTCAGGCTGAGGTTGCATGCTGAATTGGCTGAATTGTTGCAAGGCCAGAGGAATTGAAAAGCTTGTTTGACGTGTCAAATTCGGATTGGAGAGCAATGTAGGCAGCTGCATGGGTTGCAGGTCCCTCCTGTTAGCAGTTGCCAGGACATGTGCACGCAACTCAATGTGGACTGTGCCAAGGAGAAGGATCTCCTGTCTTGCATGTTTGGCATGTGTGCATCGGTGTTGAGATGAGATGTGCTCAGATGAAGTTCCGTCATTGATTGACTACGAGGGGCAGTCTCCTTTGTCTCCCAGCTAATATCCGTATGCTTATTTAGATGCAATGCAGATGTGCTGCGAGGACAGTTCTTTGGGCAAGGGCAAGGAAGGGAATTCCCTGATCCAGGCACACGGCTGTCTTGCTTGCACACAGACATGAGCTTTCTCGCAGCCTGTTGCAGCCGCAGGTGACGTCGTTAGATGACGCAGAGGAATGACTGACAATGTATCTGTGGCAGCGGCGTACATCAGCGTACTATGAAAGTATCGAGGACACCTCCCCTCGAGCAGTCATTCATAGACAGCGTGCTGCCCTTATTCACTCTCAGATGACAAGCTGATCTGAGCAAGCTTTCAAATGCGGCTGGGACTCGTGAGTGAAAATGCTGTTGCAGCGGAGCTCTATTTGCACACGTTATGACACTGCCAAGGGAAGAAGATGATCAGCGTTGGAGCATAGGCGCTCCATCCCGCCTGTTTCACATCTGGAGGACTTGCGAAGTATACGTACACGCGCATGAGTCCGAATGAAGCCTTGTTTGAGTGCGAAGCTGTGCGAACCTGTTCGCTTGAAAGCCCCGCATACTACCTGCTTGGTCCATAATCTGCTCCAGGACCGCAAGATTTGCCCTGGCAGAGCGATTGGCACCGATTTGAAAAACAGCGATGTCAGCAAAAAAGCGCTTGCTGGCTCGAGACTGTTGACTGATCTTGGTTTCTCCATGGCCTTCTGAACCTGCTGGGTTCAGCCTCATGCTGCTGCGAGGTACTCAGCCTATTTGGATCATGATGGCTACATGCAGTTCGGAGGGCTGAGCGCTTAACTCTTCACGGTACACGTCTCATTGCCGGCTTGTGCGGTGCTGCAAGCAAGGTACTACGTCCTCCTGGTAAAGCCGCGTCATGCTGAAAAGGTGCACTGTTTGCTCTTGTGCAATCAGTTGGCAAGCAAGACTGCGCGCTAACTCTCTCTGGATTTGTATAGCTCAGGTGGGCAGGATCTTTGATTCGACCAGAAGTGGACGTGCCTGACTCATTCAGTGCTGAGGGCCGTCAGGTAGCATGAAAGCCGGGAGTTAGCACTCTTGTTGTTGACTTGGCATGAGGAATTTTTTACAGCCTCAGCAGTTTCATCCATTGCAAAACTAACATTATTTATCTAGACCGCTCAATGTGCGTTGGAACAACTGACAGACTGCCGTATCACTCTCTAGTTCAAGCTCCCTAGTTGGTTTGTCAGTGAGCCATGGCACAAGCCCTGCTCCATGTGCGGAAGTGGATTGGTTGTCCTGGTGGATACAGATTTGCGGCTGGGCAGGCCTTTTTGCTCAGTGGCTGACCTCAAGACTGCAGTGGCAAAGGAAATTCAAGATAAGCACCTTAATTCGCGATCTACCTTTGGACGAGGAGGCTTTTTTGCTAGGTCAAGCGCGCTCTTGGAGAAGGAGTTGGAAGATGATGTGCGAGACCGCATGCGAGACCTCCTTTCAGGCAGAGCTGCTGATCGGCCTCCTCAGAACACTTGCAGTACAATTCAAGCTGTGGAAGGATGCCTGCTAGCCTATGAAGAGAAGACCGTTTGCATTCTTTTTGGAATGGCTTCATGTGGACAGCCCCGATTCGTTGCAGCAAGAGAGCTGACCCCTCAGTGGCTGGAAGCTATGGCCATTTCCTCACAGCCAAGCATTGAGAGCCTATGTGATGGCAAGAAGCCCTCATGGCTGGCTGGTGCTGGAGCGGTCTTGGTGCTAGTGGCGGATGTTGCTACTGACAAAGCATGGGCTCACAGATCTGCAGCAGCAGCTGCATGCTTGCGTGAAGCAACTATGGGCAACGCTCTCCAACCGTGTCCTATACTCTGGGCTTGCTGCAAGACTGCTGATGATGAGCTGTCGAACTGTGCCTTAATGAGTAGTTGGCGGAATTTGTTGAAGGTGTGGCATTCTAAAGTGTGTTGTTTCCAACATGTTGTTGATCTTCGTAGAAGTCTCTGGGATCCAGCATGTCGGAGTGGTAGGTGGAAGTCTGGCAAGTGTCCTCCTCTCGAGCTTTGCGGGCTTTGACTGATCGTGCTGCTGTGGCTTGGTCAGCAAGGCAATGATTCAGATCATTCTTGGAGGGATGTTCCCCTTTACCGCCAAAGTCCTTCCCGGAATTTGGTCTGCTACAAATACCTTCGCCAGCTGCTAAGTAGCCACTACTCTTCGCAACACAAGGCTAGCCTAGCTGAAGCTTCCGGAATTTGAAGTCACATCATTGTTTTTGATGATCTCCCATTGTTCTTGAGATTTGAAGCACTGGTTTGGCAGCCTTTGATGCCGCCACACTGTGCCATAATTTTTCATGGTTCAATTTCCGCTGCTTCGCCAGCAGAGGTTTTGGCCTCCTCGAGGGCAAAGGGCGTCTTGGATTCGTCAGTTTGGGAGCTCAGGTAGTTTGCACAAGGTTGCCATTTTCAGTTCCATCCTGCTCGGAAGTGTGTGCATGAGAAGCCTTGTTTGGGGATTGAGTGCGCTTTGGACAAGGTTAGCCCCGACCGAGCTTAAACCACGAATGCCTCAAGCACTGTTTTCACCGGCTGTTTGAATTATGCAAAACCTCATCCCCAAAAGAGGGGTACTCCCTGAACGCTGAACCGTTTAGCCCTAGACCACAAGAACTCCAAATCTGGCAGGCCGTAGGACCCGAACGTATTACCAGGCTTCACGGATTTCTTGGTGTTTACAGTTTTCATGGACAAGGTTGAAAGCTGGAGTGCTTTGGGTTTAGGGCTTAAGTAGGGTGTTAGGGAGGTTTGGATTTCTTTAAAGCACCCTAAGCTCCAAGAACCCTTGTCTTCCACCCTAGTCTCCGGGTTGCCGGACCCTCAAACTGGCCTTCTCCTCCTGCGCCACTGCGGCGCCTACAGCCGCCTGGTCTTTGCCCTCAGGGTCACCCCTCCGCAGCTCCTGGCCGGGGCTGCTGTCCGCAGCTGCTTGGAAAACTTCGGCCTGGCCCCCTGTCCGCTGAAACATGGTTGCAGGCATCCCTTTCCATTGCTGCGGGGGGCCTGGGTTTGCGGCATGCGACTAGGCATGCGGCCGCCGCATATCTCGCGTTTTTGAGCGCGGTGTTGCCGCGTTGTCCAGCACTGGACTCCAGCTACTTGCCCGACTGGCCCTATGCCGTTGCTTCCACTGCCCTCTTTGGGCTTGACACCGCCTGCGGCTCCCCATGGCTGAGGCAGATGTGGCCTGCCCTTTGTGCGATGGAGTGGCTGACAGGTTCGGCGACCATGCCCAAAGCTGTCCATGTGGTGGTGACAGGACGAAGCGCCACAACTAGCCAAGGCCCATGCAGGTCTGAGGCTCACAAGCCCGCGTTGGACTACGAAGGTCGCAAATGCAGCCACCTGCAGACACAGGAGCTTTGCTCAGCCCAAGGCATCCAGTTCGTGCCTTTGTTGTTGAAAGCCGGGGCGGCTGGGGGGGCCCAGAGCCGTCAAAACCTGGGTAGCCCTGGCCCGAGATGCTGGCTGTGACTCTGCAGCGGGAGAGCGCTCGTTCCCCGCCCAGGGGCCCTCCTTAATCCGAGCACTTCATTAATTTGGGGGGACCCCCCCTCCCCGCCAGAATAAGAAATTGAGAGCGCCACATCAAAAGAAGGATTGGGGCTCTTGGAATTCAATTAAAACGCAACACTTGGATTTCTACTAATTAGAAAATGAATAGGAATGTATTGAAAATATTTATTAATCCACCCCCTAATAATAGGTGGGAGGGGGGGGTGTATCTGTTCAGGTGGCACCTATTTTAAATAGGTGGCGCCACCTATTCTGGAAGAGTCCACACTTCCAAAATGATAGGTGGTTCAGAGAGAGAAAGGGACAGAAGGGCAGAGCGCATGTCCAGGGTTGCCCGTGGCATACCGGCCCCTTCCAAGTACACCCCACTCTATCTCGGTACACCACCCTGCACCGAATCGGGGCTTGACACCAACGCCGATTCCCGCTCTGATTGTGCAGTGCAAGGATACGAGACACCCCGCCAAAACCAGCGCACCATTACCCCCTAAGCGGAGACGCAAAGCAAAGGGGCTCACCGAGGAACAAGGAGAACACAGTGCGCCCACCAATGTGGACGCGGCTGACTCAGAACATGGCCTGCTTCATTGCATGGATTAGTGGTAGCAACCGTCAGAGCCTGACATGGGATTCGGACATTGCGCGAAGACAAGGCCCATGCTCGGCCCCCAGAGTGCAAGCGCCACGTATGAGAGTAGCTGTTAGGTCCGGATTGCGCAGTTCTGCATCAGTTCAGGATTGCCAGTGTGCAGCTGCCACTCACAGCCGGCATGCAGAGGTACTTAGGTGTTGGGAGCCGCATGGCCCCAGGGAATGGGATACACTTCCAATCTGTATCGCACAGCTACTGCTACCGCAGCCTCAAAGCACCAGTTTCCAGACAAGTTACATGGCCAAGGCCCACTGGGAACCCCCCCCTGACCCTGAGTATATCTACCCCGCCCACCGTCCCTCAGGTGTGCGGAGCCGGCAAGAGCACGAACGCTTGCCCTACAGCAAGGAGCATTATCACATGTTAGCAGGTGTCTTCGAAGTGCTGCAAGTTGTCCTGCCTGCGCTGCAAGTCACTCCGGTAGAGTCAGCTGTTGCTGCCAGCATCATGCAGAGCACACTGAGCCCAACCATGTGTGCGGAAGGCACGATGCCCAAGCCTAGTGAAGAGTCTGAACCCCGCGAAGGGGAGCCAAAGGCGAGGGCATCAAAGCAGCCCAGGTCGAGATTTCGTGCTGATGGCAGGCGCCGCCGGACACCTGGGGAGCTGAAAAAGCGGGCCCCCTACGGAAGGATGTGCAAGCTCGGAGGCGGCAGGGCGATGGGGAGGGACCGCAGCACTTCCGCATCTACACGGACGAAGACCCGCGGACCCCAGCGGCAAAGACTGGAACAGGAAGCCAGCCCGTGGCCCCTGGCGAAGCTGGTCTACCAGAGACTGGTAGGCGTGCCACTGAGGAGACAGCTGCATGGAATGAGCCCAGGGAAGAGAGGGAGCCTGATGAGGTGGACTGCGGAAATCTCACCTCAGACTCCTCCAAACACGGTTGGTCCGGGGAGGGCCCGTCGAGACGACGATGGCTTCTCTTCAGACTCATCAGTCCCACGGACCGCGTGGGAAGCCACGAGCCCACATGCAGCCGGCGACCAAACGGTCCAGAAGTACAGTGAGGAGTTTGTCAGAAGACAAGAGGCGGATGCCTTATAGGAGGCCCCTAGGTCCCGAAGCACCCAGGTCAGCGAAGAGTTTGTCAGGAGCCAACAAGCCAGGGATCCGCCTCCGATGGCCCCTCCTGATGATCTGTGCAGAGACCAGATGGAGAGACTGGACGTGGCTGTGAGACTGCTAGAGCGGCTGGCCAGGGCTGGTTTCCCGACACTGATCGGCACCTTTTACAGGTGAGGTGGCTCCGAGAGTTGGGAACTGGAAGAACACCATGCCTCGATTTGCGCAATGCATCTCTGCCTCTCTGCTTCGGTTGCTTGGGCAAGGTGATTGCGGATCGCCTCCCCGATGCGGGAGACAACATCCTCGCTATTAGCCTGGGGTCCTGTGTCCTCAGTCGACGCGGTAGACATGACCGCGTACGCAGGGGCACTGTAGACATGGGCTGGAGCCAGACAGCAGGTTTGCTCAGCACTGTTACGAAGGCAGGGGCCAATCTAACCTGTGGCACTAAAGTATCGAACAACTGCTGCAGCCGAAGCACACGGACATGCAAGCTTGGCCATGTAAGCATGCTACATTGGCAGCCACATATCTTCCATATCCTTTTCACGAAGAAACTGGCTCCAGGCTCCTTGTTCATTGCGCCGCAGGTTTTTGTAGATAACATACGGATAGCTTGCCACGTCTGCTGCCTCCTGTAGTTCTTGCTTAAGCTGTATGTGTCGCATTCGTCTTTCAACCACTCTGCATGTTCTCTGTGCATACCTTTCCAGGAATTCCGCATAAATTTCCAGCAATCTGT